GAGAGAGAGAGAGAGAGAGAGGCGGAGACACAAACCTCGTGTGTGTGAGCGAGAGAGAGAGAGAGAGAATGTGTGTGTGTGTGTGTGTGTCTTTTATCTGGCGAAAAAAATTTCCCTGGAACCTAACTCCCCCTATATATATTAAGTCTTATGAGGAAATTGGATTTGCTTAACATCCTTTCGCTTAAAGTAGCATTTTTCAGGAACATAGCTACAACGTTAAGCGAGGAGTTACTCCAGAGCTTTACAGCTCCAGTACACTGTACCAACATTAGCTAATTAACCATAGCCCTTTATATTGTTCTAACATTTATAAGTTAAACATAGCATTACTTGAGGTTCTTTTATCTCAGATGGTAGGGAGCCTGTTGTTTTGGATCTAAAGTTCCTGGGTGCTCTCTCTGCTGTTACCCTGAAGACCTGGGGAGCAACATCGGGTAGAATAGCTGACAATTGATACTGTCAGTATAATCAGAGAATTGTTACAATTGTCTGATTGATATATTTGGAATTGGGATCAACGTTGACTTAAACTAGGGTGACTGTATGTTAACCACGCCTATTGAATGGAACGTCACGCCTGCTCAAGGGTATAACACCATAATGTTGTATTCCGAGGGCTGCAGCCTACAGAGGAGAACAGAACAGAAAGTCCCAGCATACTAAGACCTACCTACTCAAGAAACTCTGTTGTTCTTAGATTGCTGCTTTCTTGTGCTTCAAGCTGCCTTCATATATCAAAGGAGAAAAGAGCACGGCCGAGTTTGTTTCCTTTGCTGCAATTCAATCCATTTATGAGGACATCCTTATTTTGCTTTGAGTGACATATCAATTGAGTGCCTTAAGCTGATTCTTTACCATGATTTTTATCTTGACAATGTCCCTTTTAAGTAATTCACCTCTTGAAAAAAAAGGCCTTTAATTTCTTTATCATTTCCATGAACACACAGCTAAAACTTACCTGAAACTACAGCATACAAATGAAACAGAAAGATGAGTATTTTCTGCACCTTCATGTCTTCTTTGATTCACAGTAGTTTCATTTCTAACTGATAACATAGAGGAGGGAAAAAAAACAGTTTAAGGCCTGTCAAATGCTTATCCTATTGTACTGTATCAATCAACAATTATTATAATGTTATTTATATAGCTCTAGATGTGGAGGGGCCTTTCTAGACATAGTGCAGGTCTGTTATCAAGAGTTTAAAGTCCTGATTCTGCAACATTTCAAGTGGGTGAACTCTTGCACCATTGTGGAGCCTCAATGACTTTAACAGGGCTCCAGGCTAATGCAGGGGTGTGCTCACACCTACCAGCTATATGATCATGGACCTAAATGGGAAATGTACAAACAACTCCACTGCTAATCCCAAGCATTCAAAAATCAGGAGTCAGGCCCCCAAAATCATAAGGGGCTTAAAAATCACAATTTAAAGGGCGGGATGGGGAATGTCTTCTGGTTTCTGGGCCTTCAGCGTTCATATTTTCAAGATTTTCTCTGCAACTTTGAGGGCTAGAAACTTGATTTAACAAAAATGGAAACTGATAATGTCACATAAAAGAAAATTACCAGTCTTTAATCTGTTGTGAGGAACCATTAAAGACAAATGTGATAAGACTAATTATTGTATGCAGCAAAGTTATGCAATTAACTTTGTAGTTCAGAGAATGGTGAGATTTAAACTAACAGCTCAATTCTGCCCCTATTTATCATCATCATCATCATGTTACCATTACGCTTCTAGCGTTTAGGGCAGTGACAAAGCTCCTCCACGCCTGTCTGTTTCTGGCAAGTCTTTCAATGGCTCCCCAGCTGTGCCCCAAGTTTTTCAGCTCAGTTTCCACAGCTCTTCGCCATGTTGTTTTCGGGCGGCCTCATTTTCGCTTGCCTTCAGGTGTCCATCATATTGCTACTCTGGTAATGGAATCAGTTTCCATCCAAAGCACATGGCCAATTCATCTCCAGTGCCTCCTGGCAATGATGGTGCTCATATCCTCTTGATTGCACTGTGTCAATAGATCTTGGTTTGAGATTGTTCTGGGCCAAAAGATACAGAGGATTTTTCTGAGGCAGGTTGTATGGAATGAAGACAGTTTGGACATGTCATACATTGTCATTCCCCAGCATTCTGTACTGTAAAGTAATGTTGAAAGTACGCAGCTCTGATAAATCTTGAGTTTGGTTTTGGTTTTGTATTTTTTATTATTTCAGACTGTATTTAAGCTCCTGAAGGTGTTCCTGGCTTTATCGATTTTGTTCTGGATGTCCTGGCTTGTTCCACCATCCTGGCTGATGGTGCTGCCCAAGTATGTGAATGTTTCTACATTGGTGAGAACATAATCCTCTATCAAGGATGGCGAGGCAATATTAAAGGTCATATTATCTGTCTTATTGTGATTGATTTTCAGTCCAATTTGCTGGCTGAATGCATTGAGTCAAGTTGTTTTTCCTTTTATATGGTGTTGGGTATATGACAGGAGAGCAACATCATCTGTGAAGTCCAGGTCTTCTAGGGATGAGAAGGGTGTCCATTTAAGGCCTCTAGGGCCTGGTCCACACTAACCCCCCACTTCGGACTAAGGTACGCAAATTCAGCTATGTTAATAACGTAGCTGAATTCGAAGTACCTTAGTCTGAACTTACCGCGGGTCCAGACGCGTCAGGGAGGCTCCCCCATCGATGCCGCGTACTCCTCTCGCCGAGCTGGAGTACCGGCTCTAGACCGCGTCTAGACCAGACGCGATAAATTGATCCCAGAACATCGATTGCCTGCTGCCGGACCCGGAGGTAAGTGTAGACGTACCCTTGGAATGTCTTCTGTTGTACACTGCATTACCTTGTCAATGGCAGTGTTGAAGAGGATTGCAGACACGACACACCCCTGATGTACTCCTGTTTTGACTTCAAAACTGAGCTCATGGTGATCAACACTGCATGTAAAGTTGAAATAGAAGCTTTTGATGATGTTGATTATATGGAGAGGGATTCTATATGCCTGCAGAATGCACCATAGGCTGGTCCTGTGAATACTATCAAAAGCCTTCTCAAAGTCTATGAAGTTTATGTAGCGCTGCTGTTGCCATTCTAAGCATTGTTCTATTATGTTTCGTCGAGTTAAGATCTGGTCTGTGCATCCATGCCCTTTCTGAAAACCTGCTTGCTCTTTTCTGAGAATGCTATCAACATATCTGGACTATGATCTTACACAAGACTTTGCTCAGCACAGATAAAAGTGAGATACCACGCCAGTTATTACAATCACTGAGAGCTCCTTTCTTTGGTAACTTCACTATAACCCCATTGGTCCACTCACCTGGCACTTTTTCCCTTTCCCAGACTTATGTAAATAGAGGGGCCAGGATAGATGCTGCTAAATCTGGATTTACCTTGAACAATTCTGCATTCAAGTTATCCTTGCCAGGAGCTTTCCCATTTTTTAAGGATTTGATGGCTTGAATGATCTCTTCCTTAGTCGGGGTGTCTGTGATATCAACACAGCCCCTAGTTAAGCAGTGCTTCATTTGTGCCAGGGCTGAGCCCCAGCACTTCTAAGCTTGGGCAGTTCACAGCCCTGGCACCTCTGCCTTGCTGCATCAGTTACGAAAGTAAAAACATTGCTCGAGTCCCAGCACCTCTTTCATTACAGATTAAGCACTGTATTTAAGTTTAAAAGTCCAATACTGTCAACATTTTTAAACCAGTTGGTTCTGTAGCCACATACAATGTGATGCACTATCTGACTGCTGCTTTTATAGAAGCTGCTGGAATGGAAGTGTTTTCCTATTCCCCCTTTCCTATATGGCTGGGGGCAGGTGTTTCCTGTCATCAGAAAGACCCAGATGGGTTTGCAGTATAACAGTGTGTCCCTACCTGGAAGTCCCCTCTGAAGACACATGAAGCAGCCATCCAACACCTCCTGAAAACACATATAAAATGATAAGACAGCAAAGGTTAAGTTAGGAGTTTGGCTGGGGCCTCGAGAAGCAGCAAGAGAGAAGGCAGGGGAGCTCCCCTTAGAAATTAAAGTTATAGAGTTGAAACTTCAAGCAAACGGTCAGGTGTTAGTCTGTTGCCAATGTATGTGAACAGATCTGTAAGGTCCAGTTTGTAGAATCTGCACAACTGGCCCTTGGAGAGTTCCAGCCAATTTTAATCTCATTTGCTTCCAGGTTATAATTTACAGTGCTGCAGCATCTTTCATCCAGAAAGTTTGCAAGTCAACTTCGATTATATAGAGGATAACTGAAATAAATTCATGGCCATGTGTATACCGAAATCAAGGTTGCCAATTAAACTGCCCATACAGATGTGGAGGTGCAAGGAAGATATAGATGGTAGAGCCTCCTGTTTTAGAAACACAGACCTCTATCATTTGAGCCAAAGGAAAATCATTCTCCATTAGTCACTACTAATATGACTGTTACCCCTTTGCTAGCCAATACTTGGGGCCTTGCTGGGTTGTTTTTCTTAAGAGGAGAAATTGATGAGAGAAGTCAGGTATTTCTTCAGCGCAATCCTGTTTATTCACATACAATGTACACAAAGTCCTGTTTCCCTGAACACGGTAGGACCTAATAGCAGGTAGTTTTCACTCAGAAATCCAAGTCTACCCTTCTAGCCCAAAAGAAGCCCTGTCTCTTGGCTTCCTCCCCAGGGGCCCTGCTCACACCTGTTTCTCCTGCTTTCAGCCTCTCATACACACAACTGCAACCAATCAATCGCCAAACCACTGTGTTTCACAATCAGCCCCAGGGAAACCCCTCAGTCCACATAGTTTAGCTTCTGTTCAGTATGGCCCATTGCCTCAGGCAGTGGCTGTCTATTGTTTACATCTATCACTACATTAAGGGGTATTTAATTCCTCTTTCCATTTAGCTTGAAAGAAAGGTACTTAGTACATCCATCAACTCTAATAGCCACTGGAGGGAACAGATATGTCCCCTGAGCACTCATGCTGGGAGATGGCAGCAAGCCCACAGAGTGCAGATGACTGGCCCGGACCCCTGGATGACCTGGCCCCACAAGAAACAGATGACTGGCCCAGACCACCCGACCCCTCAGGAGACAGATGGGTGACCTGGACCGCCGACTGGCCCAACCCCGGCATAACTTCTGCTGGCAACTGAGGCCCCCACTGATCACCTTATCTCAGTGGACCAGCAGGTACCCTTGCAGGGGGAGAGTGCAAGTGGCCCAGGGGTGGTAGACCCCTGTCTGGCTGCAATGCTGGCAGAGGTGATTCAGCATGTTACAACTTGGATCCCCGCTGACATGGTGGCAGACCCCTCCACCACCCTTAGGGCCCTGGGCTGGGATGCAATGGAGTGGGAGGGCCTGCGTCCCCCCTGCCACCTAGCTGAAGGAAAGCCTGAGTTACCTGACATTGGTTGCAGCCCCACCTGAGCACAAGGTTGGAGCTGAGTGACTTTGTTTCCTGCCCTGCTCTGAACCAGAGCCTAGGCTGATTGACTATTTGCAGCTCCACCTGAGTGAAGGCTTGAGGAGGTACTAGGGCTGCAGGGAGGCAGACAGGGCAAGAAAAGGCAGCAGGTCCAACCCCCTTGCCAGTGATGAATGGTCATTTCAGACTGCCGTTTGCCCCTGATGACTGGCAGTAGCCACTGAGGTATAAGGTGGGTATAGGGGTTTGGGGTTCCCCTGGGAGGGGAGACCCAGAGTGTGGGGATACTGCAATGGAGCAGCAACCCAAGGTAAGGGGCACCGGTGTCTGGGAGGGATGTGGGGTCTGAACTGGTGAAGATAAAGGGACTGCAGAGGTGCAGGTAAGGGCAGGAGAGAAACCGACCAGAGGAGGGCGCTGCTGAGCTAATTCCCAGACTGACCGGCAGGAGGCGCTACAGCAGTGAGTGTCCCGTCCTGCTACACCCCTGTAGGTTTCAAATTCTATCCAGTGGAAAACCATACTATACATATGCCCTAGAGGGTAAATTACAATTTTATCTATATGATAAGGCAAATGTAACTGTGGTTGCTAGGACAAGGAAGGTATTAAATAAGTCTAGCCATACATTTCAGCCTCCCAATTCTAATCTTACTTCTCATCTGACCCTCCACCCTCGTGGCAGTTGCATGAATGACCCAGGATGTGTAGCGCTTGGAGAAGGAATAGTTTAAAACCCAGTCCAGATAAAATAGAGGTAATTACGGTAGGTTGGAGTAAACAGCTGTAGTCTAGATACAAAGTATATCAATGACCCTGCTGGAGGGGTTGTGACTGCCATTTCTGACAGTGCATAAAACTATGTTATCACTACAGGAAAAGGAGGGGGAGTGAGTTGCCTTTAGGAAAGACACGTGAATAACCTGGTAAAAAGGGTAAACACCATGGGAGGTGGGTATCATAGACCTCCCCAGACAGCCTGGTGCGGTCCCGATGCTCTGCCCTAGCCCAGACTGGCTGGCCGGTCTGCCAAGGGGACTCAGGGCAGCTGGCGCTGGGACCGCGCCGCCCGGCGCACTGGGGCTGGCGTGCTGCGGCCGCACTGCCCAGCCTAGAGGCCACGGTGGGGGTGCTCTGGGCTACTGCGGAGGAGGGAGGGCAGAAGGGGAGAGGCTGGAGACTAGCCTCCCCCAACAGTCAGCCCACTGGCTGCCCATGATAAAGACCTGAAAATAACCTAGCATGAAGCCAGTATGACTCTTTATAGAGCTATTAAAACACAATAACTCACGCCTTATCAAAACTATGGCACTCACAGCTAAATTGGATTTTAGAGGGCAGGTGTGAAATTGTGGCATTGTAGCCCAGGGAACTGAACTGACTGGAGTGTGTGAAGTAATATGTCTTCCTGGTATATATATCAACATCCTCCCTGACCATCTTGGTTAACAGGCATTGATGGACCTAACCAGTTCTCTTCTGAACCCAGTTATACGTTTGGTCATCACTACATCCCATAGCAATGAGTTCTATAGCTTAATTCTGCATTGTGTGCAAACATATTTCCTCTTGTTTGTATTAAACTTGCTGCCTATTAATTTCATCAGTGACCCCTGGTTTTGTATTATGGAAAAGGGTAAATAACACTTCTTGATTCTCTTTTTCCACGCCATTCATGATTTTATAGATCTCTATCATATCCCCCCTTAATCATCTCTTTTTTGAGTTAAACAGCCCTTATATTTTTAGTCTCTCCTCATATGCAAGTTATTCTGTACCCTTAATCATCTTTGTTGCTCTTTTCTGAACTTTTTCCACTTCCACTGTATCTTTCTTTGAGGCCTGGTCTACACTAGGCGTTTATGTCGAAGTTAGCGCCGTTAAATCGAATTAACCCTGCACCCGTCCACACTGCGATGCTATTTAGTTCGACATAGAGGTCTCTTTAATTCGACTTCTGTACTCCTCCCCGACGAGGGGAGTAGCGCTAAATTCGACATGGCCATGTCGAATTAGGCTAGGTGTGGATGGAAATCGACGCTAATAGCTCCGGGAGCTATCCCACAGTGCACCACTCTGTTGACGCTCTGGACAGCAGTGCGAGCTCGGATGCTCTGACCAGCCACACAGGAAAAGCCCCGGGAAAATTTGAATTGGAATTCCTTTTCCTGTCTGGCCAGTTTGAATCCCATTTCCTATTTGGAC